ACCTCCTCTGTCCGGGGCTGGTGTGGGGTGAGGTGGACGGAGCTCAGCCAAGGCTGCTGGAGCTCCAGGTCCTGATCAACGGAGCCAACATGAGTCAGTCCCAGACTAAGCTGACTTGATCAAGTCTCTCTCTGCCTCTGGTGAGGAGTGGGGTGAAAAATCCTCCACTTCAGACCGTTTAGAGATGTAACTATCTGCGATACTGTGGTCACTCTCCATGTAGCATTAATTATGCCAATGCTAGCTGCCTGTCGCTTTCTCTCGTCCTGGCCACACCTCCACTCTCTAACCCCCCCTCCCCTACCCACACCCCCTTCCCTACCCACTTTGATGCATTTTTCAAATTTCGCCTTGGGGCGGAGTTATCTTTTCACAGGGGGGTAAGATACACTTTAAGAGTGACGCTCATCAGGCAGCTGGATTGGAGACACCTGTGAAAGTGATTAGTGACAACCAAAACAGTGTGGAAGGGGGAATGGAGGATTCCACCTCTACAGAGTACCCCCTCTAATGATCATCTCCAGACGATCTAATTAATCTTTTCTCTGAGTGTTCTTGAAAAAAGTCAGAAATCAAAGAGGGATTCAAAATGAATGATCCAGGGATCCAGGAACGATCCTCAGGACCGTATCCCTCCCAATCTACAAGAAACTGGAATCCCCTACCACGTCTTCTGGCATCTAGGATCTCCTTAACCAGGTATGCCGGGTGATCGTCAATCATGACTGGTGGTGGTGGGGTGGTAGGAAGACATAGGTTATTGGAGTTGACAGGTTTGATCTGTGAAACATGAAATGCAGGTGAATACGCATAGATCGTGGGAGTTTCAGCCTTACTGCAGCGAGGTTGATGATCTTATCGATCTTATAGGGTCCAATGAAGTGTGGGGACATCTTTCTAGGTAGGTTCTTTAACTGGATGTCTTTGGTTGACAGCCATACTTGYTGTCCAACAGAGTAGATGGGTGCCTCTCTCCGGTGCTGGTCGGCATATGCCTTACTACTGGTGGCAGCTTTTAGCAGGGCCTCCCTGGTCTCAGTCCAAAAGTCCTTACACCTGCTCATGTGGTCCTTAACGGATGGTACTAGGATCTCGGAGTCCAGTTCGGGAAACAGAGGAGGATCCTAAGGAGGCCTGAAATGGAGAGATGCCAGTGGAAGCAGAGACAAGTGTATTGTGTGCATACTCTACCCATAACAGGTGTTTAGCCCAGCCTGTTGGGTTTTTCTCAGAGACACAGCGAAGTACAGGTTCCAGCTCCTGGTTACACCGTTCCATCTGGCCGTTGGATTGGGGATGGTAACCTGATGATAAATTGGGTTTAGCGCCAATGGACTTACAAAACTCTTTCTATATTTGTGAGATTAACTGTGGGCCTCTGTCGGAGATGATTTCCAAAGGGAGTCCATGAATCCGGAAAAACTCCTTCAGTAGTATCTGGGCAGTTTCGGAGGCGGAGGGAAGTTAGGCGAGGGGGATGAAATGTGCAGCCTTAGAGAATTGATCAACGACTGTGAGAATGGTAGAGAAACAGTCAGAAACAGGCAAACCAGTAACAAAATCTAAAGCAATGTGGGCCCAGGGTCTGTCAGGTGTTGGGAGTGGTTGTAACAAACCAGCAGGAGGAAGATTATTAATTTTGTTGCGGGCACAGGTGGAACATGCTTTAACAAATTCTTTAACGTCCCTGATTAGAGTAGGCCACCAGAAGTGTCTTCTGGTAAAGTCTACCATACGGTTGATGCCTGGGTGACACGTAAACTGGTGAGTGTGTATCCATATGAGCACCTTATGTACCATAGACTGAGGAACAAAAGTCTTACCAGGTGGGCAGGAATCGTTGGGTGGATGTAATGCTTGAGCAGCCTTAATGTCGTCCATGATGGACCAAGTCAGGGTCCTTATGAAACAGGTGGTTTGGAGAATGTTGGAGTCAGACTTCTTGAGATCAGAAGAGGAGAATTGCCGTGACAAGGCATCGGGTTTGACATTTTTGGAGCCTGGACGGTAGGTTATGATGAAGCGAAATCGGGTGGAATATAAGGCCCACCTAGCCTGGCGTGGGTTGAGTCTCTTAGCCTCCTGTAGATAAACCAGATTTTTATGATCAGTCCAGATGATAAACGGGGTGACAGTAACTTCCCGCCACTCACGCCACTCCTCCAGTGCCATTTTAATGATGAGTAGTTCACTGTTCCCGACGTCATAATTCCTTTCAGCCGGGGAGAACCACTTGGAAAAAAATGCACAGATATAAGTCTTGTTAGAAACAGAATCTTTTTGGGATAACACAGCCCCAGCCCCAACATCAGACACATCCACCTCCACAAAAAGCTGTTTACCAGGGTCCAGATGTCATAGTATGGGTGCAGAGCAAAACCTTTTCTTGAGTTCCAAAAAGGCGGCGTTAGTTTTAGAAGGCCATTCAAACTTAACATTGCATGAGTGAGGGGAGCAGCGATCTGACTGTAATTTCTCACGAACCGTCTGTAGAAATGAGCAAAACCAAGAAATCTGTAGCTTTCAGTGGGGGTAGGGCATTCCTTGACTGCTTGTACCTTGGTAGGGTCAGTGTGGTACTGACCCTTAGAAAAAACGTAACCTAAGAAGGATACACTCTGAACGTGAAACTCACACTTTTCTGCTTTTAAGTATAAATGGTTTTCTAGCAATCTTTGAAGGACAGCTCTGACATGGAGTTTGTGAGTCTCGATATTGGGGGAATAAATGAGGATGTCGTCAAGATATACAAATGCATACTTATTTATGAAGTCTCTCAAAACATCATTAATAAGGTTTTGGAATTCTGAGGAGGCGTTGGTTAAACCGAAAGGCATGACTAAATACTCAAAGTGACCGAAAGGAGTTTTGAAAGCTGTTTTCCATTCATCACCATCTTTTATGCAGAGGTGGTAAGTCCAGCTTGGTAAATATTGAGGCAGATAATAACTGTATATGAATAGAATGAATCAGTGGAAGAGGATATTTGTTTTTAATAGTTATGTCATTGAGACCACGGTAGTCAATACAAGGGCGTAGGGTATTGTCTTTCTTGCTTACAAAGAAAAACCCTTCCCCCAGAGGCGATGTGGAAGGTCTGATTATACCAGATCTTAAAGACTCATCAAGGTAATCTTGTGTGGCTTTCTTTTCATTGTGAGATAGATTAAATAGTCTGCTGGAAGGAAGTRGGGCACCAGGAAGTAAGTCTATGGCACAATCGTAGTGACGGTGAGGAGGTAATGATAATGCTTTATCTTAATTAAATGCAGCAGCCAAATCAAGATACTCAGAAGGGACATTAGAAATATCGGTAACATTGGAGGTCACCTCTTATTTATATTAAAATATGCTGCTAAACCAAGGCAGTTTTTAAGACAAAAATCGCTCCATCTAATGATGGATTTATTGGACCAGTTGACCTGAGCATTGTGTTTACATAACCAGGGATATCCCAGAATGATCTGGGGTATGGGTGAATGAAAAACCAAAAACTCACCCCATTCTCGGTGGTTGCCAGATATGATTAGTTGAACTTGGGGGCTTCATGGGAGATGTGTGTGATGGTTTCACCATTAACCCCAGCTACTGGGATTGTCCSTGGAAGGGGTTGAGTGTTGATGTGGAGTCTGTCGATGAGATCTTGGGAGATAAGGTTTCCTTTGGCCCCCGAGTCCACCAATGCTTCCATACATTCCTGACCACTTGTGCTGATGATTTTAACAAGTATTACCGGCTTCCGTAGCTGAAGAAAAAGCTATGGGAGCAGATTCTCGGTCCGAGCGGTCTTTTATACGAACCGAGGTGGGGCCCACAGTATGTGGGCATGGACTATTGATTTTTCAGAGTGAGGGATACCATCAGCGATAGCCTTAGAGGGCTGAGCTTACACTCATAGAAGCTTGGGTTACAATACTTAACCATTGTTCTGTCGAAAACTCATTCATCTTCATCATACGAGTCAGGTCTGACATATTTGCGAACAAATTGTTGTTATATATCTTTAAATAGGACATAAATCCATACAATATAGACTCTCTACAGTAGTTTCCTCCATAGACATTTTACCCCCTGCCCTCCATTGGAAATCGCTGCCTTCGAAACCACGTGACTGAAACCCAGCTTTTTAATCTCATCGAACTACAGCACCTTCTTCCACAATTATTCTCCGGTCTGGTTTATTTTATTTTATTTTTTTGGCAATTTTCAAACCATCTGTCTTGTTTTTTTCTTTAGAATTTTGTTTTCTGTCCATTTTTTTTCACAACACCCAGTTTTCTGCAGTTTATATTGGTCCTGACCATAGAAAAATATAGATCACTAGACTGAGCCCCAGCTTTTCTGACATTATTTAAAACATTAGATTATATAAACTGTAAAATATTAATAATAATTGGGTTAATATTATTAATAATTTTTATGATTTCTACATCGTCGGTCCTTTTTTCTGCTCTGTCATCAACATGTACAGTAACGGGAAATCCAGGCTCTTGACCGTTTTGTGTTAGCCATTAGCTTCACCGGCCGATCACATGGTCACCTGGTTTCTGCGCACTCCAGCTGTTCTATATAACCTCCTTGGTCCTGACTCATACCTCCATCAGGCTTACCTTTGGCCTCTTGGTAACTGTTCTCACTAAAGCCCACTTTGCTCTGTAAGCTTTGCTGGAGAACCCGCTCTTGGCAGGTTTGCTCCGGTTCCATCCTCTTGACATTTTCTAATTTAAAAAACACAAGATAATCAGCTCACTGAAGATTAGATTTGTGTACATATTTAAAATATCTCTGGCAAACATGACGTAGAATCAGCTTCATAAATAAGTTCTTATTAAAAAAAAGGGAAAAAAGACTTTTGTCATGTTTCAGATGAGCTAAAAGATAATCTGTTGAACTTTCTCAGAATGATTTGAAGAGTTCAGTTCAAACCCCACTGAGAGCAGATCATATGTGGAGCTTTATAGATTGAAAACTATTGAGCTGCAGAAATAAAACTATAGGAGTTTTATGTTGCAATAAATCAAGGTTTATTTATCATTAGCAAATTAAAAACACAAAAAGCGTAATGCTAATCAACAATATAATCAACAGAAGATACACTCATTACTCATTTACTTATGTTGCAAACAGAAAAGATCAGTCTGAATTTTCCACTTCAATCATTTTGAGGTCAGAGAAAAACTAATTAAAAAAACAGACAGGGTTCTTGTGTGTCCGATTTAAGCTGGCAAATCAAATTTCAAAACTGGCTCAGAGGAGTGATACCTGATTTACAGATATGTGAACATGGACCAAAAAAAGTTATACATCAACTTCTAAAGGCATAAAAAAATCACAATACAGCATTCAACGTTCCACTCAGGCAGCAGTTTACTCTAAAACTGCAAACATAAAAGAAAAGTGAAAATGAAAAATAAATCACTTCAAAAAAATACTCCTGAACTCCTCAACATTCAGCTGCTTTTTAACTGAGAATAGTGCAAGTTAGCATTTAAAGCAGCCATAAATCTGACAGCAATTTAAAAAGTCTTGTTCCAAGTTTTATTGATCAGGAGGATTCACTTCACTTCATCCGGGATTTATTGCTTCAGCCACTGCTGGAGGAGTAAAAAGATGTGGTCCCGAGCTAAAGACAGCTGTGGGAGATCCTGGCTCCGGGCTGGGTACATGTTGGCACAGTGAGCTGTTCCTGGATCACAGGAAAAATAATCCAGGTTAATCACAGATTAGACAAGAGCAAAAACACATTAGAGAAACTGAAAGTGTCATTAAGAGGGCAAATAGCTCTTTGTGAATCAACTTGTTGACTCTGCTGTCTTCAGCATGTTTAAACAGGAAAAAATGAGAATTTTGTGGCAGACTGCTAGTAAGAAGGAGGCTGAAGAAACTGGTTCATCCCTGCTTTTAATGTTTAAATAGCCCGAGGTTGTTTTAGAAATGATGAGATTTGCTAAAGTGAAAACAAATTAAAATGAGTGAATTTCTAAAGAAAAATCCCGACTTTGAAAAATTCTGGCCAAAAAATAAAAAAGATAATTAGTTTTCTTTAAAGTAAAACAAAAACATTTTCTTAGCATTGTTTTAAAAGACAGGTTATTTTAAAAAGATTTAGTCAAATAGTTTAAAAGAATGTATCTCTTGTTTTCATCTCAGCATTGAGGGTGTCATGGAAAGACAATGAGAGAAGTTACGAAAACGATCTACTCTACACAATCACACTTAAAGGCAATTCTTGTTTTAGTAAAATAAATAAATAAAAACTCTTTATAACTTAAACAGTCTGGACCTGGTTCATAGTGAAGTCTGGGTCACAGCCCTAGACTTTTGTAACCATGACCAAAGTATGCAATGATTGTGCACAAGACGCAAACTTACAGGCCGAACAAGGAGATCACTGATCAGAGAGGCAGCCAAGAGGCCCATGGTGACTCTGGATGAAATGCAGAGAGCCACAGCTCAGGTG